TTAAAGCCCCTCAGTTTATTTGAGTTTGACACCTTGGAGTGGATTTTTTTAATCCACTCCAAGGTTTCTCCTTGTTCCTGCGAGTCAGTGTGAAGGATGTCAAACGGACACAGGTAAAATAAAGGGAACAATATAAGAGTGTGTTAAGTTTACAAGACTATAACAGCGCTACAAACCATTAACTGCTTTCATGTCACTATATTTGGTCTTCTAATCCTTCACTTCTTTTCAGTCTGTATATCGCAAATACAAGAGACCAATATTAACCGAACTACAATGATGGAATTAAAACCATAACAGTCCATTCCCCAGTTAGTTATGAAGCTCAATCAGAAGATTAGTAAAAATGAACTCTCTGCTGGTTTCCAGGCAACAGCAACAGAACCAGGAAGAAGTCAGAAAAGAAGAAGGAAATCAGTTCAATGACCAGATGATGTGAACAGTGTTCAGGCCTTATAGGCTGGGGCTGGTAAACATAGTACAGCTGTGTACATCTGTGTACAGTATGTATACAGTATGTTTCAACTGTCATGGTGGACAGCAATGATGGATTTAGCTTTAATGCTAGCATACCTAAATGAAAATTAGAAGAAGAATAACTTTATTAAGATTCTATGAGCTACACGAACCAGAACTTTAAAAAAAGTTACAGACATATTTGTACTTTATATAAAGTTAAAATGAATAAAGCTGATAAATCTCATTACTAAATATTACAACTTTATTACTTGTTGATTTATTTTACCTTGTGTCTATTTTTATATAAAAATAAATTGAAGTATATAATTCTTGCATGAGTTATAGTCACATCATGTATTTATCTTTCATGTTCCTTTTGACTGATCTTCTGTGGATTAATAATGCATGTTAACAGTGTGTTTTATGATGTGCTGAAAGCCTGTCTGCCTCTAAACAGTTTATTAAAAAAAGCTTAGCATCCGATACTTTTCACTCTCACGTTTACGAGTGGTAGTAAGCGAATGAATATTTAACTTAATCTGTTCATTTAAGACCAAATTTAACAGCGAGCAGTTTGATGAATACAGCCAACAGGTGCACTCCGGTTTTTATTATGTCACCAGAAATGATCCTCTTTAATACTCCCATCAGCCTCTGCTCTGAATCGCAGCAGCTTTTGAAGCCAAAGAAAATCATTTTTTGGGTCATTTGTGTTGATCAACACTGTCCTCTCACTCTCTGTCCCTCAGCTCTGTGATTTGATGCTCTGAAGCTCTAAGTGTCTCACTTAATGAACCTTTGTTGAAGCGACTGGAAGCAGCAGAATGTGGGAGTGAAACTCGATGAACAGGAGTGGACCCCCAGGAATAGAACCACAGACTCTTTTTCTTTCTGCCTATTCCAGTGTCAGTCTGTGTGTCTTTTCCTTTGGCGTCACAGTAGGTCAGGAGGGAGAGTCATTCATCGTCAGACCCCTCTGGTCTACATGCTGGTGTGTCCCTGGCCAGGGCACCTAGCTCCCAGTGGGCAACAGTTATTGACTGAAGGAAAAAAAAAAAGTTTATTTGAAATAATGAAATGCAAACTGATTCCATTTGCTGACTGGAGGCTATAAAAATCAGTTTTGATTTTTAAAGACAAATGTTTCCTCCTCATTTCCTGACAGATTTGTTTTCCTGATGTGTATTTGAAACGGCGGAGATTCCCCGTAGGTGGTGTACCGTGACTAACGCTTGTTTATGTATGCAACACAGGACTATTAACAGTTACTAAGTCCTCCAAACACACAAAAGAAACACTCAATGAAAGACAATTAAATGTTACCTCGGGTTTTCAAATAATTTACCCCAACAAAATGGTTACCTATCCAGAGGGCATTCAGGGTCAAACGGACATGAAACGCTGTGAGGTTTTAGTCAATAATATCAGATGCTAGTTATATTTACATTAAAACAAATGAACTGAATCAGAGAACGTGTGAGTGAGTAATGTACATACATATATGGAAACTTCCGTCCTGAAGCAGAGAGGCTGAGGCTGACGTTTCTATTGATGTTCATGTCACCGGTTGCTTTTAATCAAGACTTTCTCGTTAGACTTTTCCTCTGAGCACGGAGATGAATGAAGTGAGGAACAAAAGAAGGGAAATAAGATGAATTGTATTCAGCCAGAGGTCTGCTGTATTTACCTAACCATCTTTAGCCTTAGTTAACCTCAATCCAAGTTATGTTCTCTTTATGCTGATTTGATTAAAGTTGGATTCTGAACAGCCAAGTAGGAGTTAAAAAGATATATTTATATAAAAAACCACAACACAATTTTATACCTGAATCCCCTGATAATAATCCCAAATAATAAATCTACTCAATATTGTGTCAGTGTTCTCTTTATCTACGAAGCGAAACCGTTGTCATTTTAATCTGAAGATCAAACTCTGATTAGATTAAAACCTAGATTAAAACCTAAGAAAGTAGTTTTCTGCCCAGAAAAGCATTAAAAATATCAAGGCCTGGAGAGTTGTGAGGTAGTATTTAAAGTAGTCTGAAAGTAGAACACATACGCACACACACACTTATGCATTGTGAAGATGTTGGAGCAAGGTCATACAGTAATCGTTTTAGTCACAATGAGTCTTCACTCTTTTAAACATGTTTTATCTGAAAGCTTCTACAATTACATTATTTTAACTATAGAGTTTCTTTGTTACACACCTGTAATTATACAAATATAACAGAGACCTTCAGATGTAGACTTTAAAAATAAAGGTTTAAACCCAAGTGTTTTAGTTGAACACACTTTAATTAGACCAAACATTTTCCTTCACTTATATAT